TCTCTGACGCGAACGCCCAGTTCGGTTTTAGCGTACAACACGACTCCTCCCCCCTTTCTGCCGAGCCTATCCTTCCGCAAGATGTCGTATCCTTCGATCTCGAATTCCTTATCCGAAATGTGAGAACCTCCCCAAGTCTGGGTTATTCCGATGACATCGAAAGCGTTGTCCAGTGCCCGCCCCCTGAGCTCGTCTATTTTATTACGTAAGCTGCGTGCATTCGCGTAGAAACACTTTACTCTTCCCTGCCTTTCCTGCACACCAGTACGCGGCGGTCTAAAGCTGCTCGTAGTGGCTGTCCCTTGCTTGTGATCCCCTGACCCCCCATCTACAACCCTAAAAAAGGCTCATTTTCCTTCCTTCATAATCGTACAGGACAAGAAGATTAATAAGAACCTGCACGATAAAAATAGAAATGAGGAAAATCCAAAAAAACTACACAATTTTGAATGAAAGGAAGACTTAATTTTTTAAAACAGTTTATTACAATTAATAAATTGAAACCTAAAAAGTAAAACTGGAAATAAGTCCAGACTCGAGGAGGCGATTATCGAGTCGAACAGGGCAAGGCTCCGAAGGCCTTGTCTAAAGTCAAACGGGGAATGGAATAATTGAGAGAAGGGATGGGTTCGATGAATCCACGAATAGACTGGGGAATTCTCTTGTTTGTTTCTCAGATCCCAGGCCATGTTTATTCAGTCGTCATCGGCGTCGTTCATGCTACACTTCAAGCTACACAATATTTAAAACAGTGCACACATAATTCCACTCTCGAAAGGCAAGTGGAATTATTCAAATGAGCTATGAATAAGTTAGCGATTCAAGTTACTCCTCCAAGGAAGGTTTCTAGCTTATAAGAAAGAGATAATAAAAGCTACACATATGCAACATAAGGTTCACTTGATTCCCAGTCGAGTGCTGCAGCGATGAGGAAGCACATGTGCGTGGTAATCTCGGTTTATGACCGGGACATGGTATGAATTCAAGTCATTCGGGAGACATTCCAGGACTGTAAGCCAATAGCGAGGCCGCCTGCCTTGGGAAGGATGGAGTCGAACCGGGATCGGTTTCATAACTCAGACCTTCTCCACGAATCAAATATGAAGCTGGCCCTCCAAAAAGAGGATGCGATAGGCTACGCCGACAGTATTGCACTGTACTGTATTCATCAGAAAGATTGTCCATCAAAAAGTATTCACGGTAGAGTTGATTAAAGGGAGTGCAGAAAGGAAGGGGAAAAAAAAAATTCAGGAGGGAAGGAAAATTTGAACACGAAAATGAGAGCATTAGCATGTACCTACGATATTGACATAGATGGAAAGTATATCCTATCGAATCCCGACGTTTCCGGTTGAAATATCCAAAATCAAAAATGACTTGGCGCTTCCCTGAGCTTTTTGAGCCGATATCTCTCTCTCTTTCTCCTTTCACAGCTTTAAAATTTCGTACCACGATCACAGGGAACTCCATCTCGTTTTAAAGCTGTCTTTGTCTCCTCTGTTTCAATATAACTTGTACAATGCATGGGACTCTTATAGGAGATTCGACAAGATGAAGAAAGAGAGATGCAAGGGGATTCGTCCCGCTCGCCGCAAATCGACCTATAAAGTTTTTCTTTCCAATGGTGTGTATTGATTCGTTCATGGGCTTTGCAAGAGCTGCACTATTTTTAGTGGTTTCTTCGAATTAATTGCTGGCAGTATATCTCGATTCCTTCGTACATCTTGATTTATTGAAAGTAGTATTTTCCGCTCGGACAAAAAACGAACGTCCATTAAAATCCCATGTTATCATATCCTATAATTAATGTTTAAAAAATCCAACCATCCAAAACCTTGTAAATACATGAGTCACATCACATTATGAATCTAAATTTTTCTGAAGCTGGAAATGAGATTCAAAGGGATTTAAAATTATAAGGAAAATAACATGACGAATAAAAATAATTATTGGAATAATATGTAAAAAGATAGTGACAAGAAACGAGATCTAAGTACAGATAAGCCTATTGTGCTGAGACCTTCCAGGAATTGCTTTCCGTTTATATGAGAGTTTAAAATGTGCTCCATGTGCGGTTCAAGAGTAAAGGATCACAACTCAATGTTTCCGCTCAAAGCGGACTTCCATGAAAGCCACTTTTTTTTTTAAACGCGGATAGACGAACCTGAAACTCGAGAAACTCGTCATGAAATCAAATCGGACAAAGTTTAACCCATCCTGTGCATAACCACCCTGCGTGGTTTCCGTTCCTTGGAACTAGGGACACGATACGAGACCTGAATGGTGAGTTCGGAGGATCCAGGCCCCAAGACCCCGATGAGATTCTTGGAACCGGAGATGATGGATTCCCGTCCATGGGGTCCACTGCAGGAATCTGGGCTGCTCTCGTTGCTCGTCGTCCCGTACGCGTTCGAGATGGTGTCCTGGATGAATTCGATCGTCTGCTCCAAAGCGATAGGTGCGTGCCAGCAGGAGTCTCGGATCTCCACACCTACTCCACGAAAAATTACCCAGGAACGGGTGCCAAATGACAAAATATGCATTCCTTCCCGCTTTTCTTCTTATATTTTGCGCACCCCTCTCCATTTTTTCTTTCGCGAAAGAAAATTCCCCATTCCAAAGAAAGGGAAAAGATCTGAGTCTCTGTCGGTCTAAGGGAGACGCAGACCAGAGACAAAATACAAAAATTGCCGAATATTTAGTAAAGCGGGCCCCTATTTAACGGAGGATTGGGGTCACATAATCGATGGAAACCTTAAAGACAGCGGTTCTCAACCTATGCGCGCGGCACTTAAAAGTTTGCGAAAGACTGACAAAGGCACTGGCGAAAGGTACCGTAGGCGTGACCTGGATACTTCGCATTTCTTTACTTGTGTAATCGAGGAGCGCTTTGGGAGTGTACAGCTTTGGGAGTTCTCTTCTGGAGAACCTGTGTCACTTCTGACTTCAGTCTACGCTCTCAATGAAACTTTGCATTCAGAGAAGAAAATATGAGACACTTTTGATCAAAACTAACTGATATTGCGTAATCCTGGAATTCAATTTAATTAAGAATGTGCCTATCAAGGAAGAATGCCAAGATCAATAATGTTCCTGGAATGAAGACCTTGGTTATTTTTGCTACTGCATTTAGAAGTCTACCGTTTCTTACTCTTACTCTTATATATAAAAAAAGAAAAAAGAAAACAAGTTCAGATCCCGTCTAAGCATTACAAATGATCAATCTGGAAGTCATTTTTAAAATGTGGAGCTGCACCATAATTTTCTGTGCAACCAATGACAGGCACTGGTATCGCATTGAAGTAAGTTAAATAATAAATTAAGAATATGAATTAATCTTGAAATTATTGCCTCACCAAGGGACAGTTCAAATTAAATCTATTGTTACGGGGGGGTGTTCCTCGGCCGGACGGCATGAGAGGTCGAAAGAACCCAAGGAACGGCCGGGAATCGAACCCGGGCCTCCTGATTACCGGTCAGGTGTGCTACCACTACACCACCGAACCCTGCACATTCAGTCAAGCCTCTCGATGCCATCCTTATCCGTCACACTATCACGAATGAATTCAGAGGTCCTGGTTTTCCTTATATTTAGTTAAACCTATGTTATTATGCAAGAAGATCCATGGTTGCGCAAGATTGCCGCCGATACCTCACTGACCGATACGTGTAACGCGTATGAGAAAAGGTCGAGAACCGCTGCTTAATGGAATAGAATTTTCACTTTTCCTTACTCGCCAAGAGAAAAAAAGGTGCGAAAAACGTCTACTTAGTCTGTCAGCATTTAAACGCTGGGTAAGGGGATAAAGGGATCTGTATGCCGATGTAGTATCCAATTATTGGATACTATTATCACCATAAGGAGCATTGCTAGCTGAGGTAAATCAAGTTTCTGAATCTGAAGGCATTGCATCATGTTCATGTGCACGGTCTGGGATGCACATGCGTTTCAATATGTATATATATATATACTCCGAGAGCTTACAGCCCCTGACACCTATAAGTACCTCGGTGTGGAAGAGAACTCTTCCGTGGCTGTCAAACGCACGAAGCAGAGACTGACGACAGAATACAAACGCAGAGTCCGCCTCGTACTAAAGACCGAGCTGTCCGGCAAAAACAAGATCTCTGCCCTCAACAGCCTTGCCACCCCTGTCCTTAACTACAGCTTCGGAGT